TCAACACGAGCCTTTGAAATTGTTAGGGCTTTACTGTTGACTTCATCCAGCCCTACAAAAGATCACGGAGGAATTCAATAAATCACTAAACGCTCTGAAAAATTAGTAATTTTAAGTATTCTTTTGTAATATAAATAAACAAATGAACATGACTATATCCCATTTTCTGTAATGATAATATTGGGATTCTTATATTTTTTTCCTTATATAAAGCATGAGATGGTAAATTCCCTCAGGATATATGTACAGTCATGGCCAACCAGCCTACCATGAAATAAGAAAGATTGTTATTACGTTAGATTATATGTTAGCATTGGAAAATATGTAAACTATAATTTGTATTTTAATTCGTTGTGCCTCTATATTATGAGTCATCATAATATTTTGATATGCCTAAATTGTTGTAAGAATAATCTATTCTTTTTTAGATTTTTCTCACGAAAGGGTAATCTTAATGGCTCACCTACTGACCAATCGGCTTCCCATGACGATGAGCTGCAAAAGAATGAGAAGTAAACATATTGTTAATAGTAGTGTCCATTTTATGTCAACATAAAAGAATATAACTGAATTGTACTTACTGTGATATTCAACATGTAGGTCATCGTCATAATGGGATGGTGAATTAGTCTTTCTACGTATAATTTTGGCATAATAAGCCGTGTAATAATTTATGCCTAAGAAATCACAAGATCATTTCACTAGCGCCAACTCTTCGTTTGATTTAAATTTGGGAAGACGTTTTCCTCTTATATTATTTCTCATGGACAGTGGATAATCACCAGTTAATACGGAGGCTACAAACCTGAACATGAGAAATGGCTTAACTAAAGGATTACGATAGAAGTACTACATGAAATTCTACAAAAATATATCTGATGTATTTTCGAAAAGACACATGATCTTATACAATATACAAACAACAAAAATGTATAAACAGGTTAAGGGATAAACAAAATAGAAGAGATGAAATTTCGATAATGAAATCCAATCTAAAGTACTTCCCTATACACTAATTTCATTTGGAGAGTTAGGAATCAACAGAGATGAAGAGAAATTTCACTCGGTAACTATGAACTACTCAAGCAAGAACAAGGATTGGAAGTAAAGTCGCTCCTTTGATTAAAAAAAAAAAAAAAAAAACTCTCAAATTGTCAAAAAGGTCCATACAATGAAATTAAGTTCATATTTATATGAGTCCAAGAATAACCCTAAAAATCTAATTAAAAAGGAAAAACAAGTACAAACAGTATAAAAATATGGAAAGACTAGAGTTCTAGGTGAATTAGGAAACTCGCGCATTAAACTAAAATTCTGTCCTAAAATGACCCTATGCGGCCGCATAGAGTAACTCTATACGATCGCATAGAGGAAGATTAAAGTGCCTGAAAACCCCTGCATCTGGCTATGCGATCGCATAGCTGGGAGTACTATGCGGTTGCATTGCTTCTGGTTGGACTCCCTCTGTCTCCAGTTCGAACCATGCCTCTTCCATATTGTTCCCTTGCCCATGTCCCACGGATATCTTGACTTTAAGCCTAGTTTTTGCATGATGTTGGCTTCCAAACTTGAATGATTAACTTGGCTTGAATCAATCTTGATTTCCATGGCCCGAACATGTGATTGATTGGCTTTATTGTCTCCATTGGTCTCGGTTTATGCTTGAATCTTGTCCCACTGTGCCTTGGATTTTTGATAATTGGTGGTGCACCCCAGATCGTATCAAAAACCATCATAAACGAATAGCACATACAGCTAAAATGATATTTATTTACATGTTTTTATAATTTCACAACTATAGAGTAGTCATTAGATCAAATTAATGCATGTTCACAGCTATATAGTAGTCATTAAGTCAAATGAATTCACAATTTGTAGTTTAATAGTCTTCCCATCCAGCTCCACAGTCCTAATTTTCTACATTAATTATGGATAACTACATTGAACCCTAATAAAAACAGAGCTAAAGACATAAAAATAACTAAACTATTTTGTAATCTAATCAACATAAATAAAGGAATTATTGGAATAACACTCACAAAATCCACTCCAATGGTGCTAATATAGCTATCAACATATGAATCATCCTAAGAGCATCAAAGAACAGTGTCATGTCCATTATACAATTCACCGAAAAGAAATTTTAATAAAAACCTAGAGCTGAATATACTGACCCAACCATATTTCTACAAGCAACTCTCTAAACTATATATTCAATTGGCGATCAAGCAATTAAATAATAAAAATTAGCATGCAAGATTAATCAAGAATTGCAAGAATTTAACTAAACTACATGTCCTGTATTAAAAATTAGCCCTTGTTTGGCCACCATTCTTTTTCTCATTTATTTTATCTCTCTTATTTTCAACCATACAATCTTCCACAAAATAATGTTACACGCAAATCAAAAACTTTTCATTCTTTTTCAACCACAAATTTTTCAAAAAACACTATTCCAACCATTAAAAGTTGGAAAGAATGGGGGCCAAACGGGGGCTAAATAATAAAAAATTTCATCTTCATCCAATACATGAGAGGAATTAGCCTAGCATAATGTTTGAATTAAACACATAAAAGTGAAAAGACATCATCAAGAATTGACGGAACGTGAGTAATTTCCTTGCAATTGTTGTAACTTATCGAAAAGAATCTGAAAATAATTATTGCTATTCTCCTTAATCTCGTGCATGTCCAGTCTTTCTTTTCCGTTTATGATATCTCTATTTGCAGCCTCAATGTTTGACCTCCAAAACGAAACTCACTTGTGTTTAATCTTCAAAGCAGCTGCACTGGTTGTGTAATTCTAATTCCACCTAGCTCGCAGTCGTTTTTCCTGTAGTTTTGTCTCCCTTTGTGAGCATATATATCGCAAATTCAACCGCAATCAGTTTTCCTCAAAGTGGCTGCCGTTTTTCCTTTTTTTCCCAAGGCAGCCGCCTTTTTCTATGTGTGTAACATAGTATTGGGACAACCAAATTAAATCAAAATTACTGCACCTTAAATATGTCTAATATTTTGTAACTGAAACATGGCAATAGCCATGAATTTGTATATAATTAAATGAATTCCATGATTAATTGGTTTGATGACATAATCATGAAACTTGCTATATCAGAAATGAAAACTTGCAATTGTTTAATCATGATCTACGAGGTTAAGAACCTCAGAAGATATTTCTTGACATCTTTGTAATTCTCAAGATAAGAACACATCATATAATTTTTTATAAACTTATTTTTTGACATTATATTTATAATTTTTATAAACATACACTTCTAGAAAAATCAATATGTAAAATTTCCACTTATTTCTCTAATGTGGCATAGGACATCTTCCATTTTAATAAAGATCATTCTGTGTTATCAGATTGTTAAGTATTCATCCAATGTTAATAAAATATTGGGAATTGCAACGTTAACATCTATCCTATTGCTATACTTCGAAAAAATCTTCACACCTATGCCCATTCGGAATTTACAAAAAAGCAGAATGCTCGTCCATTACTTGTAAACACTCATTTCAAACTCAAAAACCAATTTCATTAACAATAAGTTTTCATCAAAATCAATATATTCGAATGGAATACATCATGTTGAATGAATTTAGCTCCTTAGAAATTAAAAAATGCAACTACCTCCAATCCAACATATCTGATCAAGTCTTATTTTCATATTTTATTCAGTGGTGGTGATTGTTTGCATGCCATTCTGTCATGGGTACAACCCCTGTAGCTTACACGTCTCGTTTCTTGATCGTACTCTTGATTTGATTGTATTCTTTGCCTTCTTAAGTATCTTCAATTGTCATTTGGATATGAGAGGAAATATTAGGACTAGCTATAAACCTCATAATATTGATGTAAATTTAGTTTCAATATCCTAAATTGGGAACATTAGACACCGATTGTGATAAATTAAAATTTCACAAGATCAAAGTTTTCAAGGAAAAATATAGCTTAAATACCAAATACAAATTCTAGCAAACCATTGGATTAATAGAAATTTGTAGTGCAAAAACAATCTTTATGCATTATAAAATTTCAACTAGAAATTCATAAATTTTCAAAAAAGGGAAAAAGAAGAACCAAAATAGCTTTTTCGAGGGGAAGATATACAATATAATTAATTCTAAAAACATAAAAAATAATATCCAATAAAAAGAGATAAATTTACGTGGGATTTAGTGGCTTTCTTCTTCTTTGGAATTGAAGTTAAATCTGTGGTGGACGACAAAGAACACAAGATGTTGAATCTTGGCCTTAGGGATTGGGGTTCGGAAAGCAAAATTTGAACGCAATTAAAGGAAATTTGGATAAATCAAGGAAGAAGGTAAAGCTGGAAATTAGGAATTTTGAAAAGGGAAAGATTTGGTGATCTAATTTATTGAGCACAAATCACGGGAAGCATACATAGATTTGGTTTTTCATTTTTTTATTACAAAATGTCAATATGTTTGGAGTATAAAATGTGGAAATGTAAGGGTACGGTTGGTTTGCGTTTGTGTTTCCTGTTTTGAGAAACTATTTTCGAATTATAGAAAACGTGTTTGGTTTGTCATTTTGAAAAACGATTTCTCAAAACAGAAAACTAGAACGTGCGTTTGATTTAAAATTTTTAGAAATTGTTTTATGACATTTATTTAATTAATTTGATTATTTAATAAAACATAACAATTTTATGCTAATATATTACCAGATAATATATATTTTAAATTTGGTGAATTTACTATTTTTGCTTGCTAAAAAAATAAAATAATAAATAATAAATTTTTTAGAAATTGTGTTATGACATTCATCCAATAATTTGATTATTTAGTAAAAATCAAATACAAATTACAAATATCAAATGTAAAAATCAAATACACAAATATAGTTGGTCAATAATAAATTCCAAACAACCATCAATATTTTCTTGTAAAAATATACAAGTGTAGTTGTTCAAACGGGTACTTTGCCTTTTGGGATGTGAATTGGAGCAGTAGGGGCTCTGGTTGTAGGCTGAAGAAGCTGTTCCTTAACTCTTCACCTTCCAATTCTTCAAGCTCGGCCTCCAATTCGTCCTATCATTAAAAAAAAAAATTATGACTTTAAATTGCATATATAACTTGTGTGTATTAGCGAGATAACTTCAATATAAATAAAACTTCAAACAAGTAGAAGAATTAGAGATGAGCAAAGAACCTCATCAAAATCAGCTGCTGCACCAATGGGGGTAGCCAAGGCTTCCTATATCTGCTTCATGTTTTCTGTTTGTTCGTTTATCTCATCCATTGTCTTGTCAACATCATCAATGTTCCTATATGTAAGCCTTGTCAAAGTTGAGTTGATAAAGAATATACGTGTTGTGAAGAATACTAAGATATCAATAGTACGCAATTTATCTATACCGGATTGTTGAAGAGCAAAATGATGCCACCCTAGCTGGATTTTCGGAACCCCCAAAATAGAGGAGCAGAGAAATATTGCAGAGACAACAGACGCAGTCGCCGGCCAAGAAGGGAAGAAAGAAGAAGATATGATTTGAGCAACTTGTGTGAATTGTGATGACTTGGGCTATTGGGCCTTTTTAAAAAAAAAAACAAATAGAGTGGCCCAAATCAATGAAATCGTCCATTAATGATTAGGGAAAATTAGGTTTAGTACCCTAAAAAATTTAAATATTTGATCAATACCTTAAAACTAATTTAAAACTATTATTACCGTATTAATTACATTCAAGACTCACGAAAAAAACACCCAAATCTGAAACCCCTGTAATCAAAAAAACCTTAAGAAACAAGCCTCCATTGCGGACATTTTTGTTGAAATTTATCACCAAAGGCGCAGTGGAAAGCAACAACACCACCAACAGTAGCCACGGGTATTGATTTGGTCGCCGGAGGTAAGAGCAAGAAAACCAAGCGTACTGCTCCTAAATCCAATGATATTTACCTCCAACTTCTAGTCAGTCTGTGTTGATTCCTCGTTAGGAGAACTGGAAGCAAGTTCAATCCAGTTATATTGAAGAGACTGTTCATGAGCAAGGTTAACAAGGCCCCACTTTCTCTCTCATCTTGTCACTTCGTGAAGGGAAAGGAAGACAAAATTGCAGTGCTTGTTGGGAATGTGTCACTGATGATATTCAGGCTTATGAAGTCCCTGCAATGAAGGTAACAACTTTTAGATTCACAGAGAAAGCAAAGGTTGAGAAGGCAGAGAAGAATGCTTAACTTTTGATCAGCTAACTCAGAGCTCCTCTTGGGCAAAACACGGTAGTGAATATTCCAGTCTTTTTCTTGATAATTTTAATGTTGCAAGAGTTTGATATAGTTGGTAGTATAGAACGGTGGAAATGAGATTTTTAACCAATAACATGAATATCATTTTGTCAGTGATTTCAATTATGTAATGATTGTTGTGTTCACTACTTTGATAGTTTGATTCATTATTTCCTTTGAACTAGTATTTAAGGTTTGATATGGATTCTGTTACTCACAAAATTGCTTTGTTAAAGATTATTATTATTTTTTTTTTGGCTCAATGTTCAACTATTTTGGTCTTGCTCACAACTATGATTCTGCTGGTAAATTGTCATTTCTGTTTGTGCTACAAAAACCTTGTGCTGTTATGAAACCTAAAATAGCTAACTGTTCTATTTTGATGCAGGTACTTCTTAGAGGACCCGTGAAGTCTCGTGAGGCAGCGAAGCACTTTGGTCCAACTCCTAGTGTTCCACACAGCCACACCAAGCCGAATGTGAGAGCCAAGGGTAGAAAATTTGAGCGTGCTAGAGGTACAAGAAGCAACAGAGGTTTTAAGGTCACAACCATTAGTTATTGCCAGGTTGATGGCTATTTTTTTTTTTTTTATTTTATCAGATATTCTATAAAATGTTTTGTCCCACTATGTATTCCCCGCCCCGATTCTTTTCTTGTGTTCTCTCATCTTTTTTTTTTTTTTGCTCTTCGATGCAATTGTTATCACATTTGCTACTATAATGTTACTTGTGAATTTCTATCACGTGGATTGTCCTAGACATGCTTATTATGTTAAAAATCGCTACTACACTCACGTAAATTGTACTGAACATGTTGATTATATTAAGAACATGATTACTGGTGCCACGCAAATGAATGATGCTATTTTGGTGTTTGTCATTTTTTTATTTTTATTTTTATTTTTTTTTAGTTTGTGTCTTTTTTTTCTTTTTTCTTAATTTTGTCACTTTTTTTATTAAATTTGCCACTTATTTTAAGTTTCTGTCACTTTTTCGAATTACAAAAAAAGTGACAATTTTTATAAGAGTGGCATTGCGTCACTTTTTAATTTTACATAGTTTATTTCATGGGTCACAAATCAAAAATTTTATAGGTCACAATTTTGTTGGTCACAAATTAATGAATTTTAAGGTTACAATTTAATTGTTAGTCACAAAGAACCAAATATTTGGTCGTATACACTAAACGCTCTACCCCACTCTCGATCTACTATCAATACTTGGTCACAAATCAATCAAATAATTGATCACAAAACACTCGTCATCACATCCCACTGCCGCCACTACATCGCTACTGCTAACAATAATAACAACAACAAAAACAACACAATGCCACACTATCATGTATTTGTATTCTTTGTGTTGATGAACTTAGTTTCATTACAGAAAATATCGTGCACTCAAGGATGTTGTACGTGCAATCCATCAGGACAACAATTTTGGTGATTTTTTTCACTTGTATATTCATTATCTTGTGTCCATTTGCCTCCATAACAAACGAAAACATTAATTTTATCCATACCTGGAAAAAGATTGCAAAAAAAATTGTGAGTTTTTTTTTTTTTAAGTGACAGAGTAATATGCATCTAGTTAATTGCGCCAGTGAGATACCGTGACTTTTTTAAGAATGTCACTTTTTCACATTCTCTTTAAACAAACACGTTTCATGCATCAATGCAATTGATTCAAAGTTTTTCTATTTCATATATATTACCAGAAAACAGTGCTTGAATTGGTATGTTCAAATTTTCAAAAAATGCACACGTATGCATCTATTTAATTGTTCCAATGATATGATGTGACTTTTTATTGAAAATAGTGACAAAATATTTTGTCATTTTTTCATAGAAAAGTGACAGAATCACATTCTCCTTGAGCAAAAGCCTTACATACACCAATGTAATTAATTCAAAATTTTCTTTTTTATATGTATTACCAGAAAACAGGAATTGAATTGGTATTACCAAATTTCAAAAATACAAACGTAATCACGTATAAAATTACTTAATTGCTCCAATGATATGGTAATGGTATGACTTTTTTTTGAAAAAAGTGACAAAATGTCACTCTACATGAGCAAACACCTTGCACGCATCCACGTACTCGATTCAAATTTTTTTTTTCATATATATTACCAAAGAACAGGACATGAATTAGTATGTTCAAACTTTCAAAAAAGCATATATATGCATCAAGTTAATTATTCCAATGAGAAATGGTGATTGTTTTGGAGAAAGGTCACAGAATGTCACTTTTTCGTTTTTTTAGAAAAGTAACAGAATTTCAATCTTTATGAGCAAACACCTTACATGCATCCATGTAAGTGAATCAAAGTTTTCTTTTTCATATATACTACTAGAAAACAGGCCATGAATTAGTATGTTCATACTTTCAAAAAAGTACATGTATGCATCAGGTTAATTACTCCAATAATAAAGTGTGACTATTTTGGAAAAAAAAGTGGCAAAATGCCGCTTTTTCATAGAAAAGTAACACAATGTCACTTTTTTTGAGAAAAAGTCATAGAATGTCACACTCTCCATGAGCAAACACCTTACACGCATCCATGTAGTGGATTCAAAGTTTTTTTTTTCATATGTATTACCAGAAAACAAGGCATAAATTGGTATGTTCAAACTTTTAGAAAAGCACACGTATGCATCTGGTTAATTGCTCGAATGATAAAGTGTGACTATTTTGGAGAAAGGTCACACAATGTTACTTTTTCGTAAAAAAGTGACACAACGTCACTTTTTTTAAAGAAAAGTGACAGCATGTCACCCTCTCCATGTGCAAACACATTGCATGCATCCATGTAATTGATTCAAAGTTTTCATTTTCATACGTATTCTCAGATAACAGGGCATGAATTGATATGTTTAAACTTTCAAAAAAAGGACACGTATGCATCCAGTTAATTGTTCCAATGATAAAGGGTGATTGTTCTTGTAGAAAGGTAACGAATGTCACCTTTTCGTTGAAAAGTGAAACAATGTCACTTTTTTTAGAAAGGTGACAGAATGTCACTCTTCATGATCAAACATCTTGCAAGCATCCATGTAGTCGATTCAAAGTTTTCTTTTTCATATGTATTACCAAAAAAAAAGATATGAATTAGTATATTCAAACTTTCAAAAAAGCACACATATGCATCCGATTAATCACTCCAATGACAAATGGTGACTGTTTTGGAGAAAGGTCACAAAATGTCACTTTTTCTAAGAAAAGTGACAAAATTCCACTTTCTCACCTTCTCCTATAAGCAAACACTTTGCAAGCGTCAACGCAATTGGTTCAAAGTTTTCTTTCTCATGTGTATTACCAAAAAATATGGCTTGAATATATACATTCAAATTTCCAAAAACTCACACATGTATATCTAGCTAATTGCTCAAGAGAGATACTGTGACTTTTTTTTTAGAAAAGTGACAGAATGCCACTTTCTCACCTTTTCCTTTGAGCAAACACATTGCAAGCATCAATGCAATTGGTTTAAAATTTTCTTTCTAATGTGTATTACTAGAAAATAGAGCTTGAATATGTACGTTCAAATTTCCAAAAACTCACACATGCATACCTAGTTAATTGCTCAAAAGAAATGTTATGACTTTTTTTTCAGAAACGTGACAGAATTCCACTTTCTCACCTTCTCCTTTTAGCAAACACATAGCAAGCATCAATGCTATTGGTTTAAAGTTTTCTTTCTCATGTGTATTACCAAAAAATAGGGCTTGAATATGTACGTTCAAATTTCCAAGAACTCACATGTGCATGCCTAGCTAATTGCTTAAAAGAGATGCTGTGACATTTTTTGAAAAAAGTGATAGAAAGCCACTTTTTCACATTATCTTTTTGTCAAACACCTTGCAAGCATCAATGTAATTAATTCAAAACTAATTTTTCATATGTATTGACACAATCCACTCAACTTCAACAATTTTATTTTCATACATGTTTCCAATTAAATTAATAAAATCGTCAAAAAGAAACTTCATAAATATTAATTATACATTATGAGATTTAAACTAAATCTAATCATGAAATTCAAACGAAAATGAGATGGATAATGAGCTATAATCATGGAATCCAAAACATAGAAATACCTGTAATTTTGTTTGTGTTTTTGTGGAAGATCTCCTCGACTTTTTTTTCCAGATTTTTCAATGTTTTTGTGGATGGTTTCCTTGATTTGAAGAATGAACAAACTTTGTTTATGTATTTGTGGAAGATTTCCTCTTTTCCTTTCAATTTTCCTTTGATTTTTGCATATTGGAGGCTGATTTATGAGGATTATTGTGAGTTTAGGTTTTGAGCGTATATTTTACGTTAAATTTTAAGTAATTACCATTTAATCCAAGTTTATAATTTTTTTTAAAACAACCCAAAAATTTAGGGTATTTTTGTAAGTACCCCTAATGATTAATCCATACCCATATCAGTTTCTCCCAAATGAAATCCCGTCAGTTAGGCGAGAGCAGAGAGCAAACCCTTGAATTCTTTCCATTATTCACCCCTGATTCCATAATTTCCATCCCATAATTTCCTTCCACATTTCCATTCAAAGTGTGAAGTGGGTTGATTGGGTAATGGGCTAGTGGCGTGTGGGTTGCGATTGCGAAGTGCGAGTCGGAGTCGGGCGGTGCAAGGAGCGGTGTGCCGTGCGAGATTGTGCGAATTGCAAAGGAGAAGAAGCCGTGTGCAGTGTGGGCCAAGGTCCTTAGGGTGAGTTCATTGTTCTTCATACTTGGAAGTCTTGAATGGTTGAATTGTTTTTATTTTTGTTGAATTCTTTTGGTTCAAATCTTTCGTTATCTTATCTGTTTTTGGTGAATTGCGATTGCAAAATGAAATCAGGATCTCTTTTCGTTGAATTGTTGAAACTTGAATGTTGAATTATTGATTTGTTGCACTTGTTTGTTGAGACTTGAGAGTGTTGTCTTGCCTGCCTAATGTATTTTGGATTTGGTAGGTATTAGGTAGAATTTATTTATAATTGATAATATTATTTAATCAAATTTAAATAAATGACCGGCTGCTAGTCGGACCTGACTATTACGATCGTTGATTATCAACGGTCAACGATCAAAGTCAACATCCGCCCTAGATGAACATGCATCCTGGATTCGCCACTGGATATACAAATGAGTAAGTGCACAAAGGTAAAAGAGTGATAATAATTTCTGCAACAATGGAAAAAGTAGACAATAAAAAAAAAA